TTTATTTTATTTTATTTTATTTTTTTAAAGATTTTATTTATTTATTTGAGAGACAGAGAGAATGAGAGAGAGAAAGCACGAGAGGGAAGAGGGTCAGAGGGAGAAGGAGACTCCCCGCTGAGCAGTGAGCCCGATGCGGGACTCGATCCCGGGACTCCAGGATCATGACCTGAGCCGAAGGCAGTCGCTTAACCAACTGAGCCACCCAGGCGCCCTGGAGGAGAAATTCTGAAGCAGGTTTCCAAGCAGCCATTAGGAACTTCTGAGAGGTTTGCTATAATCACAACAACTGTTATTTTATGTTCTCTTTACATTTCCCCATGTTTCCCAGACTGTCCTTCACATACGCTCTGCCAGAGATGCGATTCCATTAGAGCGATTTCTTGCCGAGGGCTCCCATTACATTTTAGATCCATGGGATCGCTAGTGCACAGTATGGTCATTTCCACATTACTTTCTAGGACTTAATGGATTGTAATTGATTGGGGGAATGCAAACTGAGAGTAAATTTTTACTAGGATAATGGCAATTTTTCAATAATTTCTCTTTCTTTTTCATGAGACTAATTTCTCAGCATTCTTTCTGCCTAGAATGTCTATAGAAGGTCAAGATGCAGAGAAATATATTAACTGATAATGTTTTCTTCTCTGAAAGTACGATTTAATAATATCTGCATTTCAAACAAGCTGAAGGAAGCCCTGATGTACCAGTAGGAATCACTGTGGAGGGACAGCATGCCTGAGGTCTTGTTCCTGCCTCTCCGCAGTGCCCCCTCATCCCAGAAACCGCACGCTGTCCTTCCAGATCTCCCCTGACCCAGGTCCCTTCCATGAGCCACCTCCCTCTCAGTTCTCCGAGGCGGGTCCTCCAAATGCTGATGCTCAGCTCCAGTCCACCCTCTGTGCCTCCTCCTGTCCGTTTCCCAACAGAAACTGCTCTCACTTCCCTCGTAATCTTACCTTGGCAATTAGAAGTTAATTCTTGAAAGAGTATTGATGAGGAAGAAATACATAGTCTTTGCTCACAGAAGACACAACTGTATCTGTAGAAAATCTCAGAGATTTGAAAACAACAGCAACAACAAGAAAAACCTCCTGGAACCAGGAAGTGGTGACAACAGGAG